GAATTAATGTGCAAACATCCAGATTATTAAAAATATTAAAACAGATTAAATATTTACTCCTTTAATTACAGGTGTTCTGCTCACACCTGCAGGTCACTAGAGGTATTACACTGAGGTCCACCGTCCTGTCTGTCTGTCTGAACCTGTCTGTGTGTTTGTGTCTCAGGTGTGTGGAGCTCTGCTCACCTGTGGGAATCACACCTGTGAGGTCATGTGTCACGACGGATTCTGTCCTCCGTGTCCTCGCTCCGTCAGCCGGTCCTGTCCCTGCAGCAAGACCAGTGAGACCACACACACACACACACACACACACACACACACACACGTCTCTGCCTATAACAGGATTATTTATTGTCGTTTGATTCAAAAGGACTTTAATGTTTAAAATCCTGATAAAGAGACAAAGTGTTCAGGTTTCTTTTTCTGTCCTCAGACTGCAGTCTGAACTTTAAATAACACACACACACACACACACACACACACAACTCAACATGCAGAACACAACACATGAACACTTTAAATCTTCCATCTCTGTTTAAATGTCAACGTTCAGGAGCTCACACACACACACAGCTCTGTCTTTGTGTTGTTGTTTTCTAAATGGCACTCTGATAACTGTGTGTGTGTGTGTGTGTGTGTGTGTGTGCGTGTGTAGAGTCATCTCTGCCGTGCACAGAGGAAGTGCCGCCATGCGGGGACACGTGTGACCGCCGTCTGTCCTGCTTGAAACACACCTGTTCAATGAGGTGTCACCGAGGGAGCTGTGAGACCTGCAGACAGGTGACACACACACACACCAGTCACATGACAACAGAATGAAACGGTGCGAGACACAGACAGGTGAACCTGTCTGTGTGCTTCTGTGTGCAGGAGGTGGAGAAGGAGTGCAGGTGTGGCAAACACAGGAAGTTGATGCCGTGTCATAAAGAGTACCTGTGTGACTCCAAGTGCCCCAGAACCAGGAACTGTCAGAGACACCAGTGCAGGAGGAAGGTCAGCAAAACACACGTGTTGCGTGTCGTGGCCTCTGGTTGTGTGTGGTGGCTCGGCCTGTCACGATAACTGTTGCTGGGCGATTAATTGTCTCAAATTATTGCAATAAACGAAAATATTGCTTTAAATTTGACAATAATTAGTAATTATTGCCAAATTTAAGAAGAAATTTTGGTTAATTTGTTTTGCATGTAGTACATTTTTTTGACCACTGGATGGCAGTATAAGACTTTGAATGAAGGATGGATAGTGAGGTAGCGAGCAGCGTGTCTCTTTAAGAAAAATGTGAGGGAGGCCCCTTGACGTGACGCGGGTTGTCTCTCTTCAGTTCTCAACATGGCGGACGCTCGGTGTGGTTTGAGCTCTTTAGCATTTTTCACACAAAGATTTTAATAAAAAATCAGTAAACAAGTTCTCAGATTCTTTTTTCAGAGAAAAACAACTTTTTACACGAAGACACGAGTTTCAACCGTGAAAGCCTGTTAGCTTAGCTCGTAGCTTAGCTTCTCAGTTTAGCTGCTTTTAACGATCAAAAACACGATGTTGGACGTTAAAACACATTTTAAAGAGAAAGGGAGGGTTCGGTGAAGAACCGGAGTTGTCATCGAGTGTCTTCAGTAGAAAGAGAGACACGAAGAAACGATGAAGCTGACAAATGAAAATGAGGTCGATCATTTTCATTTGTCATGCGATTAATAGATTTATTGATTATTGTGACAGGTGTAGCCGTGGCCTCTGGTTGTGTCTGTGCAGCAGCTGGATTCTCTCTTTCAACAGGAGTTGTGTTAAATTGATCTTCTGATGGAAAAAACTTTACAAACTTTGTATTTTCACAACAAACAGTTCATGATTTTGTGTTTGATTGTTTGATTGATTTATTATTTGATTATTGATGATTGTTTTTAGTATTTGATGATAATTGTTTGATTATTTGATGATGATTTGATGATTGTTTGATGATTATTTGATGATTCTGCAGCAGTGATGATCATCTTCCTGAGAACTGCTTGGACTTTCAGATGCAGTGTGTTGTTGTGTTGCACGTGTGGTCACTTGTGTTGTGCTGCTGCTTGAACCCACTGCTCTCGATGCGAGCTGGTCACATCGTACCTCTGAGACGTTGTCTCCACTTTGTACCCAGCTGACGTGTCGTACATGAAGCTCCTGCAGGTGTCCCTGCTGTCAGGGACCTTCTTGGACTGGTAGCTCTCAGTGAGACAGTTGGAGAGCAGAAACACGTCGCTGATGATTATTAGTTTGTTTTTACTCCAACATGAACTCCAGCAGGTCACATCATAAACATGGAGGCAGCTGCTGAGGTGCTACAAGGTGACCACATCTGCAAACATGTGGTTGTCGGTTCAACTGGACCTGGAGCTGCTCAGAACAGTCTGGTGTTGGTTCAGGGTGTGCACGTTGTCGCCCATCATGGCTGCTGAAGTGTCTTTGTGTCCAGTTTGTCCTCTCTGAGCTGAAGTCCTGTCTGATGTCTTCAAGAAGCAGCAGCCCGTTCTAAATGTCACTCTGATGCTATCTGACACGCTGAGTGACAGCAAAAGGTCTGCTGCAGGCTCTCTGTGTGTGTGTGTGTTCAAACTGCTCCTGTTAATGTGGCTCCAACTTCTGTCTGTGTTAAACACCATTTCCCATAATGCCTTGTGTTCCAGTGTTGCCCCGGTAACTGCCCCCCCTGTGATCAGATCTGTGGTCGGACTCTGGGCTGTCGGAACCACAAGTGTCCCTCCGTGTGTCACCAAGGTAACGAGTACATTTAATATTTTCTGATCAAATCCTGAAACTGAACGAGTCCTGATCAGAGCAGCTGCTCAGCTGATCGTCTAACTCCTCCCACTCAGGCTGTCACTTCTCAGCCTCGTCTCACCGATAGCTTAGGACTTCCTGAGTGTCAGCTGCAGGGTCAAAGGTCAGATCAAGTGTGAAGTGTGTGTGTGGTGAAACGTTGAGCTTCATTATTGTGTCCAACAGACGGCAGGCCTGACAGCGTCCCTCGTCCTGACAAGACAAAGACCATTTGTGGGTCTCTGTCCTCTGATTGGTCACGTTGACTCCTGTGTGTATCTGGGAGCTGATTGGGCGCTCTGACCTTTCAGCAGGAAGCAGATAGAGGGCTGCACGGCCGCCGACACGCCACCTGACCGATAACGCTCCGTGTGTGTGTGTGTGTGTGTGTGTGTGTGTGTGTGTGTGTGTGTGTGTGTGTGTGTGTGTGTGTGTGTGGGTTGAAACTGGTTTCTTTGATGTTGGGAAATGAAACGGTTGATGATGTCATCATAAGATCCGTCCAGTCAGTGAGTCTCTGAGACCGGAGGTCCTTCAAACCTGTTCTGCTGGTTTAAAGTCTGCATTTCTGTAAACTGGACCCCGGTCCAGGAGTCTGGATCAGGTGGGTGAACTGAGTCTGGTGGTTTTATCTGAAGGAGCTGACGGGTCAGCAGAACTCTCTCAGGTCCGGTCAGCTGTTTACACTCAGTGTGGTATTTTAATGAACTCAAGGACCAGCCGTGTCCTCTGACAGGGACCAGAGACAGGGACCAGAACCCTTTAATGAGACTAAAGTTCTGCAGGACCCAACATTTTTATACCATACATCTTTATTTATAGAGCACTTGAAACAGCAGGATGGACAGATCCACAGAGGACAGATCCTCAGAGGACAGATCCACAGAGGACAGATCCACAGAGGACAGATCCTCAGAGGACAGATCCTCAGAGGACAGATCCTCAGAGGACAGATCCACGAGGACAGATCCTCGGAGGACAGATCCTCAGAGGACAGATCCTCAGAGGACAGATCCTCAGAGGACAGATCCTCAGAGGACAGATCCACAGAGGACAGATCCTCAGAGGACAGATCCTCAGAGGACAGATCCTCAGAGGACAGATCCACAGATGTAAACACAAGAACTAAATATCCTGATGCATGCTCAATAATCCAGGTAGAAAAAAAAAAGAAAAAAAAGTTCATTCTGGTCCTCTGGACATTAAAAAAAACAACCACAACAAAAAACTGTAGAAACGTTTCGTCTCTCATCCTGAGGACTTCCTCAGTCTGAGGTGCTGTATTCAGCTCAGTCTCTTAAATAGCACCTTCTCAGAGTGGATCAACCAGTTTGCTGCTGACAACCAGAACCAGCTGATCACATGCTCAAGAAGGACCATCAGCCTAACAATGGATCATTAGCACCTGATGGCTGTTTACTGTTCACAGAGGGCTGAGTGATACTAGCAATCACAGCATTGTAAGAGGGGGACAGTTGAACCTGGAGGCTCCACCCCTGTTTAATGATGGACGGTTTCTTTTCACAAAGATGGCCTCCTTTACTCCTCTCTCAAACCATCGTTCCTCTCTGTCCAGGATGTGAACATCTTCATCCCTGAAAGAGTGACCGCTGGCCTGGAGATGAGTGTAGACCTCAGAGTCCTGGCCTGATGATGTTGATCTTCTGTGCTGGTCCATCCTTTTGGCCAGTGGCTGTTTAGTTTCCCCGATGTAAGACGGATCACCCTCCTGACACTGAACAACATACACAACATTACTCTGTTTGTGCCGGGGGACTGGATCTTTGGGATGAACCAGTCTTTAATGTATTTTGGGGTTTAAAAGCCACTGGGACGTTGGGGACATATGGGGAGCAATAGTATAGGCAGAAACATGGGTGTGCTATGGGGTCTCCAGTTTCTCCTATTGTTGCCAACCTGTACATGGAGGAGGTAGAAAAGAGAGCCTTGACGTCCTTTTCAGGGACACCACCAAGTCATTGGTTCAGGTATGTTGACGACACCTGGGTT